TGAAAAGTGCAGCTTTAGAACTTAGGTCATTTAAGATTAGATCTCCTTGATATGCTTCCATGTAACCTTGAAAATGAATTATAAACTTGAACCAATTATTGTATCTTTGTTTTCACCTTGTGCATTTTGAATGATGGTGATGAACTAATTATGATGAATTTGAATGAAAATTATAAGTTTCCTCAAAATATCTTTCTCTTTTTCCTTTGTTTTTGTGTTTCCATGGTTGATGATTAAACTCAATATGAATGTGTCCACAAGAAATTGTATCAATGATGTTTGCATCTTAAAGAAATCTTAATCTCCCATTCAAAACTTAAGTTCCCACTATGTTGCGCTTAAGTATTTAAGGATCCATATTCCAATGAATGACCAAATTTCTAATGATGAATCGAACTCTGATGAATGGAACCTTAAGCTTTAAATTTAAGCATTTGGATGGAATCCAAAGAATGTAGCTTGTACTACGAGGACACCATTTAACCAGCTGAATTATCTTTGCATTATGATGTAAACAAATCCAAATTGGTTGACTAAGAAATGGATGAATCCAATGCATTGCCGTAGTCAGTGACTTGTAGCCCAAGAAAAAAATGCATATTGAATTTATGCAAAATGGATCCTTAAGAGAAATCTTAATATGCCTCTAGTATTGACAAAATCTGTCCCAAATGATAAGCCCAATCATAGAAAGAGATGTCTTGATTCAAAGACCATGTATGCAAGTTCACAGTCCTGAGTTCTTGAAAACAAAACCCTATAATTTGATGTTCACTAGAAGAGAATAGCCTTGTAGTCTGATGAAGAAAAAAATCCTAACAATCATGAATCACAACCCTAAGCCCACATTTCATTACTTCAAGAAGAACTAGAAGAATAAGGCTTTGTTGGATATAGTAGATATCACCTAGGACTAGGGATACCCTATAGTTACCGGATTTAACCCTTGATAAAGTAAAGGCTTGACTCCATCAGATATCTCTAAGGACTTAGGATTTAGGATGGATGGTTAAAGGTTTTCTCACTAAGGATTTAGGGAAAAATAATCTAAAGGTTGGTAGTTGAATGTTATGAACTTGTTAAAGAAATCGGGATTCAAGGTCCTTATAGGAAAAATTACACACCACACCCTAGCATGTTCATCATATTTGTGAAAAAACATATCTAAATTTCTGCTTATTATTAAGTGACAATTTCTAAAACACAAACCCCAAGTTAAGTTTTTGTTTAATTGAATCACGTATTAAACTCAGTAATTCTGTGCAGTCCTTGAGATCGACATTCGATAAAAATTTCCTATTATAACAAGAGGAAAAATAGTACACTTGTTATTTTCCCATCAGTCCTCCTGTGCAATCATACTACCTATAGTTGACTCAGACGCAGAAATTTACAATCTCATACACTGATTTTTACAATGAGGTAGTGTATAGAAGGGTTGATAAGGTATTGCTTGATCTTGTCAAATGCTTTTTGATGCTCTTGCTTCCATTTGAATTCTCCTTGTTTCAAGCATAGAAGAGGAGAGAAAACCTGAGTATGCCCACTCAAGTTTGAAATGAATCGTCTCAAGAAGTTTATCTTTCCAAGCAGTGATTGCATTTCTTTATTTATTGTTGGCGCCTTAGTCTCCATAATAACTTTCATTTTATTTTGATTAAGCTCCATACCCTTCTTGTTGACCATAAATAATAATACAAATTAAATATAATTTATTACTTAATAATAATGTAATATTATTAATTTAATTATTATTTATAATTAATAATAATGATTAATAATAAAGAAGGAAATACAAGTTTTAAAAATTACGATTTCGAGTACGAAACATGTATCATATATGATTTATTACTTAATAATAATATAAATTATTTATTTAATTACTATTATTAATAATTAATAATAATGATTAATAATAAATAAGAAATAGATACAAATTTTGAAAATTATGATTTCAAGTATAAATTTATTGGAATTCTAAAACGCTTGATAGATTGTTTTGAGAAGTTTAAAAAATAATGCGTGTTATAATATTGTAAATTTAAGATAGACTAATAGTTCTATTTATTTATTTATTTTATTAATAAATAAAGAATCTTAATAATTAATAATATTATTGAAGCATCATTATTTATTTATTTATTTTATTTTGAATATATTATTTAACTACTATTACTAATAATTAATAATATTGATTAATAGTAAGGAAAAAAGATATCGAATTTTGAATACTAATTCAAATATTAATTTGATGAAGGCAATTTTGACGGTTTTGAGAAGTTAAAATAATAAACAAAAGGGCAACTACCAACTCTCTCTTTAAATAAAATATTTAATATTATAATAAATAAAATACACATTTCTAATTTACTATATTAAAAATAGAAAAATAAAAATGGATTGGAAAAAGCAGTGTTTAATTTAAATTGCAATCAAAACACAATAAATAGAAATCCATTATACATGTTCAATTTTATAAATAGAAGAAATATTTAACAAAACACCAACTTTAAATTCAATTTTAATTTATATAACAAATCCATTAAATAGAAATAATTATTATTAATACATATTCATTACACAAAATTTGAAACTCTACAATCATTGGTGAATTTTGTATGAGAATTAACTATTTATAACACAATAGGATCGAACAAAAAGGATAAACAACACCTCAAATCCTTAATAACAACTTTTTTCCCTTCCTAGTTTAATTCAACATTAGTTATTTCCTGTATAAAAAAAAGAAATATATCAATATATAAAACATAAATGAATAATGTTGTTCAAATAATTCAAGACTTTCGAGTCCATATATTTTGCAATAGATATTGTTAATTTCAACTTATTTCTTTAATCCGCTATATCGTGTCTTACCAAAACTTAAATCCAATCCCCCTAAAAAAAACTACACGGTAAAAACTTATAATCAGTAAACAATAATAATAAAAAAATACACTCCCTCACACGTGAAATCACCTTTGGGTGAAAAGAGAAAACATCTGTTTCTTCTTTGTAAACACCACTTTTATTTTCTCTCGGAAAAACTAAAACAACCAAAACTTACTTATCTCCCTTTCCTCAAATTTTACTCATAATAAACCAAAGTAAATCAAGAACAAATCAGAAAACAAAAAATAAATAAAGGAATTAAAAAGACTAACAACAGATCTGAAAAGTCAGAGGTTCGGACACGATGGATAAAACTTTTTTTAGTTGCAAGCAAAAAGAGAATGAATTAATTTCAGAACAAAATACGACAAAATTATTAAAACATAAACGTAATCGGAGAAGCATTTTGTAAATGAAGAAAGTAATGCTGGCAGAGAAAAGAAATGGTGAAGCTATTCTCAAATAGAAAAGAAAGTGTTAGATAGATGGAGGGTAGGAGAATGAATTTATAGATAAATGTATAATGGAAAAGAATTGGAAGAATTGGTGTTTTAAGCATAAAAATTCAAATTAGTGGTGTTTTCCTATGCTTTGAAGGAGAAAGGCTACATATTATAGTCTAGAAAAATAATTATTGCAATAAAGATAATATAATTAATTAAGGTAGGAATGAATTATTGTAGAAGATAATTACGTTTAATATTAAAGTAGAAGACAAACTCGTTTCTCTAACGCCGATACTTTGAGTAATTTTAAGTATTTTGTACAAAAATGTGAAAACACTAAATCCTAATACTAAAACTCCTATTTATACTAATTTTGATCAAATGGTCGCCAAACGTGACGGTCGAAATATGCTTAATGATATTTCGAATAACTTGAAATCTCTATGGTTCACATACGAACATTTTGCCAACACTTAACAAAAACAAAACTTTTATTAACTCTTTATCTATCAAAAACTTCACACAAACTTCTTTATTCTTTCTTTCAAACTATATTCTTCAAAATATATCATTTCAACTAAAATCCATATAGTCAAAATTTCCAATCAACACACAGAGATGCATCTTCGAATTAAGTTTTGACATAATAGAAATGTCACTTCAATTTGATCCCAAAAATAATAAAAATAGATACGTCCAAAAATGCATCTTCAGATGCTATGGCCAATCTGGACTTTTCGTAGTGGTGTGTTATAACACTTCATGGTGACAAGAACAATACTTTTTTGAGTTTTTTTAAAATGGGTCTGAGCCAATTTGTATTTCAAACAATTTGGGTTTATAAAATCAGTGCATCAATTTTTCTAAAAGTTTTATTGCACGGGTTTTTTTCACACCCCTAGTAACAACCGCTCCGGTTGGATTTTCTAATCATCATCTGATTCTAGTAAGGAACAAAAAGCACATAAGAGAGTCAATTAGACCATTAGGGTAATAATGACTCAGAAAATTACTGCTATATTCTTTATTTGCAATCGAGGTTGCAAACTTGGTCCCTCAAGTAACATGACTAATCATCAAAGTTAATGCATTAATAACTTAATAACCACCACTTTAACCACAACTATACTAATTTATATAAACCAAATGTCTTTTTCAAAGAAAAACCAAGATCAACTGCATAGAAGTTGATTATATAAACCGAATATCTTTTCGAAGAAAAACCTAGATCAACTGCATAAAAGTGGATTACTGAAGAAAGGAAATCTGGTTCCTTGTGTAGTTGAGAACTTTCGATTGCGAAATTAGTCCTGCTGGTGAAAATAACAAACCTTCATTGAGTAAACAAACACACAAAATATTGCAATAACATGCATAAACCAATTTGTTGAGAAGTAAACGGGATAAGAGATGCTTGGATCCCATATCTCAGATCAGAAATATAATTTGGGATTTAAATCTCCCAAACCAAATAAATGTTTCGACAATTTATCCTTGAAGTTTTTTTTTTTTGATAAATCACAACCGAAATTTCTAAACACAACAAGTACAATTAAGCATCAAACACAACCAACCAACAAAATGAACTCATTTTCAATCTGAAACAGTTATAAAGCAAACAATTTCAATGGCCTTTCAAGTCATATATTTGATGGTCTATCTTCAAGCATAGTTCAAACGGAATATGTCATTCAGCACATAATAGCTTCCTTGCTGTGTTGGTATCAAATGGAACATCTGAAAACAGAAAGTGACAAGCTAAGTCATTAAAAAAAAACAATGAATGAGAGCAACTTAAATAAGTAAGAAAAAAGGGAAAAAAAACCATCAGAATACAATAAATTTTTCTAATTATACTGGAAACATAAGTTATACCACTACCAATAACAGAGCACAGGTGTAACTGAGTCTGCGTATCAACGGGACATTAAATAAAATTTGTTGGACAAAAGTACCAGAAATTTCAAAAGGTAAGCACCATTTGACAGGACTTAGACATCCTATTATTTCAGCAAATAATAATCCATACATACATTGAAATGTGGTTGTATCTAACTCAACCATACTAAATCGGTTAGTAGGATGAACATTACCCTCACAAACTCATTTTCAGGCCTTATATTGTCAGATGCAGGACTCTTAACAGAACACAACAATCCAAGGACATAATGTGAAAACTTTAAAACCGGAGAAAAAACCAGACCCTCTTTTTTAATTAACTAACTCATACATGTTAACTTTAGCCCCATCAATCAATGTTAACCTGCCAAGTTCTAGCAGGGATCAAGGCTTTCATATTATTTTGAGAAATAATTAGGGCAAAAAATCGGTAGGATTTGAAGGTGGATCTTGATTAAAGTCTAGAACATGGTTTTAAATTGCACTCTGCAACTGCAATTATTGCCGCAATATTGTGGATGCAATAACCTCCGCAGCTACATCAAACTGCAATTGTGTGATTCAGATCACGCGTCGGAAAGTATTAAAAACCACGTCAGACAATTTAAATCTCAAAATTTTAAAACTCCAAAACACAATTTACTTAATATAATGAAAAATCTTAACATTAAGTGTTTTTCAACATCGTATTTCAAACACTTCTCCGCTAAAAATTCAAGCGGCAATGCACATCGCAACACCAGCAACCGCATCTGCAATTTAAAACTATGGTCCAGAATACATACAAGTCTCAAAATTACATCTTCTTACTACATACTAGGTCATATAGTTCAATGCATCCTAGTTATAGAGGATAGGAAATTCACGAGAACTTCATCCCCTTGTGCAATTTCGATAGCAATAACCCTAAATTTCAATCAGTGACAAATAGGAATAGTATTATGATAACCTAAATTGCAATCAGTAAAAGCATCGATAATCCGAAAACAAAAAAGCGAAAAAGCGACCTGACTGAATTTGAGAGCGTGTTGTTCACCGCCGAGTTGAAGGTTACCGCTGACGAAGACAAGCATGCCGGTGTTGACAGTGGATGGTTGGCAATCGACGGTGGTGATGGAGTGGTGGCACTGCTGGAAAGGGAGAGAAGTGAGCTTGGCGACGATGTTGGGGGAACCTAGAATCTTCTGACCTTCGAAGGTAAGCATGGATCCATCTTGGTAAAGAGTGGCAAGTCCGGCACGGTTGTTGTCGAAGGTGGTGTAGTAGTGCTCCACAAATGCCTTTGCCAATGCGTCTGGATCCATTTCTCTCTCTCTCTATTACTCTCTACTCTCTCTACGCTACCCTCTCTCTCTTTCTCTCCTCTCTTTATATTGTGTTTGGAATTTTATTCTTTTCAAAAAACATTTCATTTTTTATTTACAGAATTTTTTTTTACTCAATCTTTTTTTAATGAGAATAAACACACATAATCAAATTAGGTTGAATTGGATTAAAAATATATTAATTATATTGATTCTCAAAATTATCAATATCCTATACATTATTATATTTTTATTAGGTTGAATTGGATTAAAAATATATTAATTATATTTTTTATTTTGGAAGTTAGTAAATACAACAATAACACCGATTACATTTTATATTTTTATTTAAATCATTAATTTAAATTATTTTTTTTATATTTTATCTTATATGTCTACTTATATCTTTAATTATTTATTTTTTTCTTTAATTACCACACATTCAACTAAGGATGATAAAGCGGATTCTCCATCCCGTTTAAATTTGTCTTATTTAACTCTATTTAAAGACAGGACGATGTGGGTTAAGTTATATATTTGAGTTTAAAAATTAAATCTGTTCTGTTCTGTTTATTAATGAGTTGGTGGACTGATTCATCAATTTTTTTTCTTTTTTAGTTTAATTTACTAATTTATTAATAATTTTTTTAATAATTTATTACTTTATATATGATTTAATTTATTATTTTGTTTACAAATATTTATTTTTGGTTGATTTTTTATTTCATATGTCATTATCTTTCAAATAATAATACACTTTTAAGAATTATTATATAATAAAATATATAAAAATTTGTAGTATTTTACTAAACAACGAGTAGAATATCAGCACGTCCGCACGGATGCCGGTCTAAACTGCGAAATTATCATCATTTTAGTTTTGACATTCAAATAAAATAAAAAAATATTTAAATTTAATTATAAAAAAAGAAAAAAAAAATAGTCAAATATAAATACATAAGTTAATCAAAAATAAATATTTAAATGAAAGATATATTTTCAAACTAAAAACATAATTTTTTCTAATAACTTTTTATTTTTTAAAAGAAAGACATCAATAATATATATTTTAATTATTCATATATTATGTTAAATATTATTGTATTTTAAATTAAAAATAATTTTAAAATAAAAATATTAGAAACATAAATAATTAAAAAATAACATATTTTTCTCGTGTTTGAATTCATATATTATTTTAAATATATTTATTGTTATTTTTTTAATTGTACAAAAATGTAATAATATGTGTGTTGACACAGATTTTGACATGATTACTCATGCGTTCACACTGATTTTAGTCTGATTATCTGTGTTTTCATACAGATTTTAACCTAATTACCCGTATATTCTGTATATGACCCATACATTCACACGAACATTGGTGTGATTACCCGCGCGTTCATATATTCAACTAAAAAAAAGGAAATTTTGATTTAATTTATAAACCTCACATAATTTCTACTTGTATAAGTAGTCATGTTAAATCTCTTTCAATATCAAATTTATATACAAAATGAACTCAAATTTTTTCAATTTTCAGTACACGTTATTAAGTAATTAAGTTAAATAAATTATATATTTGAATTTATTAAAAGTAAGATATATATATATATATATATATATATATATATATATATATATATATATATATATATATATATATATATATATATATATATATATATATATATATATATATATATATATATATATATATATATATTGTTTCGCTTAAAATACATACAAAAGCATCTTATTTATTATTTTGCACTGAATGTGTAAAAATTTACACTAACAATACATAATAATTAATTTTTTTAAAAAGAAAACTAAAAAATTAAAATATTTATAAAATAGAAGATTAAAACTGTGTTTAAGGCTAATAATATAAAATATTTTGCCACATAACATAACTAACAGAAATATGGATTGTTTTTCTCTATAAAATGCAGAGTTTTTCAAAACATTTTTGCCATATAACAAAACTTTCCTACTTGTATTCTTATGTTTTTCATTTCAAACATGTTGCTTCTGTTTTTGCATCGACTTATGCCATTTAAATGAGGTTTCATCAACATATATACTGACAAAAGTTGTGTGCCTATAACTCCATGGACTTATTAACAAATAAATTGTCATGTCATGTTTAACATCAAAATGATCTTTCTAATTTTCATATCGCCAAATCGTAATGGACTAGTAAACCTTGAATTTAACTATATCACATCGAGAAATGATGCAAAAGATCACAACTCCTTTACTATGGCAATAATATCGAACAAACAATATTTTGCACTAAATAGCATAATACTAAACAATAGCGATTAGTTGAAAGAGATCATATCAAGAGCCTAGATCATATTGCAAGAAGCATAGAACAAAAGGATGACCGTATACAACCATATCAAGAGTCTATTGAGACTATTAATCTTGGCACATAAGAGGATCTGAAAGAGATCAAGCTAGGGGCAACGTTAGAAGAAAGCGTCAAAGAAAGGCTGATCATGTTGTTACACGAGTATGTGGATATATTCGCCTGGTCCTACAAAGACATGACAAGGTTGGATACAGATATTGTAGTACACAGATTACCTCTCAAAGAAGGTTGTCCCCCGGTCAGGCAAAAGCTCAGGAGAACTCGTCCAGATATGTCCAGCAAAATTCGGGAAGAGGTTCTTAAACAATTCGACGCATGGTTCTTGGCAGTTGTAGACTATCCACCATGGATAGCTAATATTGTGTCAGTACCCAAGAAAGATGGCAAAGTACGCATGCATGTGCATTATTGGGATCTAAACAGAGCAAGTCCTAAAGGCGACTTCCCGCTACCTCACATAGATGTTCTTGTAGACAACACGACTCAAGCTTCAGTATTCTCATTCATGGACGGCTTCTCAGGTTATAACCAGATTAAAATGGTGCCCGAAGACATGGAGAAGACTATCTTCATGACACCTTGGGGCACTTTCTGCTACAAAGTCATGTCATTCGGTTTGAAGAACGCATGGGCAACCTATCAACGAGCAATGGTGACACGGTTCCATGATATGATTCACAAGGAGGTTGAGGTGTACGTAGATGATATGATCGCCAAATCTCATATAAAGGAGGACCACATCATACATTTACAGAAGTTATTTGACCGAATGCGAAGGTTTAAATTAAGGTTGAATCCAAAAAAGTGTACCTTTGGTGTCAGGTCAAGAAAGTTATTGAGTTTTATTGTAAGCCAGCGTGGTATCAAAGTAGACCCCGCCAAGGTAAAAGCTATACAAGAAATGCCAGCACCAAAGACGGAAAAAGAGGTTCATGGTTTCTTAGGACGATTGAACTACATTTCAAGGTTCATATCACATCCAACCGCCACGTGCGAGCCTATATTCAAGTTGTTACGAAAATATCAAACAATAACATGGAATGAGGATTTCCAGGAAGCTTTTGAGACGATAAAACAATATTTGCAAGAGCCACCAATATTGATGCCACCAGTTTCGAGAAGACCTCTCATTATGTACCTAACAGTACTTGAAGGTTCGATGGGATGTGTATTAGGCCAACAAGACGAAACAGGTAGAAGAGGGCATGCGATCTACTACCTCAGTAAGAAATTCACTGATTGCGAAACCAGGTACTCGCTCCTCGAGAAAACTTGTTCTACATTGGCTTGGGCTACTAAAAGATTGAGGCAATACATGTTAACACACACCACATGGCTAATAGCAAGGATGTATCCTTTCAAATATGTGTTTGAGAAACCAGCTCTTACAGGGAGAATTGCTCGATGATAGATGTTATTATTGGAGTACGGCATACTATATGTTATCCAAAAGGCCATCAAAGGTGGTATATTAGCTGATCATCTAGCCCATCAACCATTTCCAGAGTATTAGCCCATGAAATTTGATTTTCCAGACGAAGATGTTATGGCTATTGATGACCACGAAATACCAGGACCCGATGAAGGACCTGAACCAGGGGCACGTTGGACACTCATGTTCGATGAGGCTTCAAATGGATTGGGACATAGTATCGGGGAAATCTTAACTTCTCCAAAGAACTATCATAAACCTTATAACGTAAGGTTATTATTGTACCCCAAAATTTGCTCTCTCTTTTCTCAAGATATTTCTCACAAAGATCTTTGATGATTTAAGCTTGCACAAGTATTGGCTAGGTCAAGCCATCTCCTCAACATTGATGCCTCAAATTAGGGTTTGAGTTTGCACAAGGACAGTTGGACTTCTAATGTTCCAAATGACTTTCATGGATCATTATGGACCCTTAAGATTTCCCCTGTCAAGTTTCAAGTCTTGGATCATAAAATTGCTCAGTCAATTGGTCAGGTGGTCTAAAATTAGTTGTATTAGTTAAAAAGTCAATTGTGGTCAACCTACAGTCAAACTTCAAGATTTTGGACCAATATCAACATGTTGAGGTCATACGTATAATTTTATCAAGATTGGATCATAATTCTCCAAGAAAATTGTTCAAATCGTCAAAAGGGCAAAATTGTCAAATATAGGGTTTTGATTGAGAATGACCAATCTTTGACTTTTGACCTGGTATATGACTCATTGGTCTGAAACATGATCTTAAGGATGTGTTGGCTGAAGATTTTGATGACACAGTTCGAAACGAAGCAAGTTGGGTGTTTCGTTGGAATAAAGCAAGATGTCATGGTTCGGAATGGTAGAAGCAGTTCTTCGAATGAACATGTCAAAGCTCGGAGCTTCGAGTGACAGTTGTGGAGATATATTCAAAAGAAGTCTCGAAGTGGTAATGAGACTGTGTTTAAGAAAGGAGTTCAAAGCGAAGAGTGCCAAGACATTTGAAATTCAAACACAAGCGGGATGTTCGAAATTTAAAATATATGCGCTGGAGCATTCAAAGACGCGTGGAAGCTATAGAGGGGCAGTGCTCTGCATGTTCTGAATGTGGCAGAATCTTATAGGAAAGACCGTTATGGTCGAAGTAGTATAAATAGAAGTCTTAGCGTT